GGGGAGGGGGTGGTGCATGGGTGGCTCAGACAGCGTAGAGCCTACTTAGGATTCTCTCTCTCTCTCTCTCTCTCTCTCTCAAAATAAATAAAAAACAAAGAAATAAATTTAGGGGCGCCTGGGTGGCTCAGTCGGTGAAGCGCCCGACTTCGACTCAGGTCATGACCTCGCGGTGCGTGAGTTCGAGCCCCGCGTTGGGCTCTGTGCTGACAGCTCAGAGCCTGGAGCCTGCTTTGATCCTGTCTCCTTCTCTCTCTGCCCCTCCCCTGCTCATGCTCTGTCTCTCTCTCTCAAAATAAACATTAAAAAATATTAAATTAGTTAAAATTAAATAAAACCTAAACTTTCAGTTTCAATGGGGCCAGCAGCTACCATATTGGACGGCACAACGTAGAACATTTCCAACATGGTAGAAGGTGCTATTGGATGGCACTGTTCTAGAAAAAAATCCTTAAAGAGAGTGTAGGCGTGCCTGGCTGGCTCAGTCCATACAGCATGTGACTCTTGATCGCTCTTGGGGTTGAGGTCAAACCCCACACCGGGTGCAGAGACTACTTAAAAATAAAATCTTAAAAAGAAAAGAGAGAGAGAGAGACTGTATCATTATCTTTCCCTCCCTTCTCCCTCACCTCTTCTTGCTGACTGGAATGCAGATGAAATGGCTGGAGTTTCGACAGCCATTCTGTACCATGTGGGGTTCTTGGAACCGGAAGCCAGACATGGAGGACAACTAAGAAGGGGACAGGGTCCCCGGCTCTGTAAAGCACCAAACCAGCCCTGGGCCACCTTCTAGGACTTTACGGAGAGAAGCCAACTTCCACCCTAACTACACCAGTTATTTGCGGTTTTCTCTTGTCTCGTCCTAACGCACAAAACCACGCTCTTACGGAACCGCGCGCAGGGGGCGTTCTCTGGAACCTGCCCTCCATCCCTCCGGTTTTCGAGGCCCCCACCCCCAAAGCCAAAAGCTGCCCCCTTCTGCCTCCCTCCTGGGCGACCTCCCACCTGCATTTTCTGGCAGTCGGGAAAGTCACCGGGCGATATGTGATGCTCCAGCTGAATCTTCGCAAAGATGACGGGCAACTTGAGGATTAACTGCTTCTTTTTGTTCTCCTTGCCAAACACGGAGGGCATCTCCTTCTTCAAGTAGCTGATGATGTACGCGTGTACCTGCGGGAAGAGAGTGCCTGCCTGAGCCCGCCAGGCCCCCGACCTACGGCTTCTTTCTTTATTTTTTTAACATTATTTATTTATTTTGAGAGAGGGAGAGCTGGGAGGGGCAGAGAGAGAGAGAGAGAGAGAGAGAGGGAGAGAGAGAATCCCAAGCAGGCTCCACGCTGCCAGCGCAGAGCCCGGTGCGGGGCTCGAACTCACGCACCGTGAGATCACGACCTGAACCCAAATCGCGAGTCGGACGCTCAACTGACGGGGCCACCCAGGCGTCCCCAGAGCTTCCGATTCACGAGCTCTTGCCTCCTGCGTCCGTCCCCTCTGCTGTCACTGCTTCTCTCCACCTCGGGTGCCACCGCCCCCATGGCACCTGTCGGCATCTCTCCCCCGCGGAGACACAGCAGGCATCCCCCTGGCCTCCCGGCTTCTCCTGCCCCTACAATCCCTTCTCCACGCAGCCCATGTGCCTACAAACTCTTTGGGGCCCTCAGTCATTTTTAAGAGTGCCATGAGCTCCTGTGACTGAAAGCTTTGAGAACCACGGCTCTCCATGATTTTGGCCGCTGGTGTTTCATCCGACATCCTCTCCCCGCCCCTGACCAACTCACCGTGTCAGTTTCCTCACCGGCCTTCCTTGTACCAGCATGCCAATCTTTCCCTGACCACAGGGCCTTTGCACATGCCGCTCTCTGCCTGCAATTCTGCCCCGATCTCCCCAAGCTGGGTCCCTCGACTTCCTTTCGATGCCACCCTCCTCCCAGAGGCCATCTTATGAGTAGCAGGTGCCCCAACTACCACCATCCAATTCTTTTCTAACTTCACTTCCGCGCCCCCCCCCCCCCCGCCCCCACAATGTCTATTGCACCTTATCGTTATTCTGCTTATCTGGTGGTTTGCTTACTGTGTCTCCTACCATCAGAATGTGAGTTCCAGGAGGGCTGGGACCTTATCTATTCCCTCTGTCCCCAGCACCACGGGCACAACGCGCCCAGAAAGCACTCACGAAATACTTGTGGAGGAAAGCAATGAACTTGGGAACCTTCTGATCTCCAGTCTCGTAAGTTATCAAAAAACAAACAAGGAGGGCAAAGGCATGAACCTTCCCAGTTTTTAACAGGAAGCTCAGTAATTAACTGCAAATGCTTCAATAAAAATAGAATACATCTGGAAAAAGACACAAGTGGCTCCTCACGGGGGGGGGGGG